GTTTTATTTATTGTGATCGATTTGCGCCGTCAATCCCGGCGCATGCGCGCTTCATTTGCAGTCTGGACGCTGAGGGTAAACTCCTCCCGCTCAAACGTCGTAATTTAATCCAGTGGCGCTAGGAAGCCAACAGTCTTGAACTCAATGTTTGTCTCGCAAGGATCTGGGAATTCCTGACAAATCCTCCGGACAGCACATGACGGCATTACGACCCTTAATCTTGCTCCAATGAATCCCCAGCACCAACTCACAAAACTCGTCTGAGCCAGAAATCTGAAACGACTACAATTATAACAAAACTGTTAATATTAAATGTTACTTATTCATATTTAATAATACTTGATATTTAATAATATTCAATAAATATAATCAAATGTTACTAAAAAATATTACAAAAGTTAGTAAATTGTTCTTGAATACATACTCTCTTACTCTTTTTCTCCGTACACGTCCATAATCAGCTCTGTAAATGTTGTTGATATTTTGTAGAACGAACTGATTCAAACAGTTCACCTGAAATCCAGGATGGTTTGTGATGCAGTTTAGCTCTGTTGGCAGCTGATTAATCCTTCTCAACACCTATCAGGTTTGAAAAACATGTAGCCATTAGCTTCAAAGTTTAACTGAATACATTTGACAGATAATACAGAAATAAAAAAAGATATTTGTAGGTAATATACAAATTTCTCGATAACTTGATATACGGATAACAACTAAATGATTCAATACTGAATCAGCTCTGATCTTGTATAAATCAAAGAGAGATACACCTTTGGGATCTCCTTGCAGCAAACATTTTCATCTTCAGTGGGCATGGTATGGCAACAACCATAGAGACACCTGTGAGAAGGAATAGTACTTGACAAATAAATTGTTTCATTGCAAAACATGTTCTAACAATGACAGCTGTTTATTATGTTGGTGCCAAACAGCTTCATAGGTTGTATATTCAAGGTGTTTGGTGTATTAAATGATCAGTGGGAGATATCTCACCAAGTGGAGACATCTTGTAGGATTCTCCGTTCTTTCTCCGGTTCTTCCGTAGATGGACTCTCCGGGTCCGACAAGGGTTCATACATGTACGGTTGAATTATATTCTGAAGTTCAATATAAAAACAAAAAAACAACCATGCATTATATAAAAAAAAATAATAATAATCTGGATAAAAATCAACATTCCTAAAAATGGGTTCGCACTGAGAGTGACACATTTTTGCCAGTTTCTTCTGCTTTTGCTCGCCTTGAAATTTGACTGACCCGTGAAAAACATTTCACACAGAAGGTGAAAATCTGAATACTTTAATCCCTGCAGAGCAGAGAAGGCGGGTTCGAGACTACGACTGCCCAGGAGTAGGACCGTGGCACATTGGAGAAGCAAGCCATGGGAGTCAGAGCGGGGACAGGCTATAGCTGGCTGGAGCTAGCCTCTAGAGGCTAACTGCTGAAGATCAAAAGAAAACAGAGGAGGATCAGCCAAGCCGAAGCAGACAATGGCAGAGCTGGAGAGAGAAGGAATCGAGTGACCAGTGTTTGAAGAAGAAATTGTTTTTCAAGCTGAATTAAAATGGATTTTGTCACCTTAAATCCTCTCAATTCCCACTTCAGTCATTGTCAACATTATTTTATTTAGCTACAATTTCTATTTTTAAATAGGCTCATCTCTGCTGCACTCCTTCACAGTACCCACATCTAGTCCTTGATTAGATTACGCAACAAGAATGTAAACAAAAGTTCAGATTTTTCAAAGTCATTTGCAGGTGAGGCAGCAATCAAATGTCACCAAAATCCTGCCATTCGCCTCCATAAATTCCCCCTTCGCTTCAGTAAGCTTTGCTCTGCTCCACATCCCCTTGGGGAGCAGTGTGCTGCCATTGTACGGTGCCTGGGGAGCAGTGTTGGGTTAAAGGGACCCAGTGTGGCACTCTGTAGGAGTGGGGCTAGAACTCAGAAGAACCTCTGCATTCCAAGCTCTATGCCGACACTCCCAATTTTATTTTTTTCTGCTCTTTTTCTTAGGACAGGTTGTAAATGTTGACAGGGGGAAAAATTGAGGGTCTGATGCAAACAGATATCATGCAAAATGCATTTTATTTTTAGACTGAAGGTGAGATCCTGTGAGGAAAATAAGTATTTGAACACCCTGCTATTTTGCTAGTTCTCCCACTTCGAAATCATGGAGGGGTTTGAAATTTGAAATCATTGTAGGTGCATGTCCACTGTGAGAGACCGTGTTAAAAATATCCAGAAATCACATTTTTTTTTTTTTATTAATTGTTAATTTGTTTGATACAACTGCAAATACGTATTTGAACACCCGAGAAAATCAATGTTAATATTTGGTACAGCAGCATTTGTTTACAATTCCAGAGGTCAGACATTTCCTGTAGTTTATCACCAGGTTTGAACACACTGCAGGAGGGATTTTGGCCCACTCCTCCACACAGATATTCTCTAGATCAGAGAGGTTTATTGGCTTTCGCTGAGAAACAGAGTTTGAGCTCCCTCCAAAGACTCTATACTGGGTTTAGGTCTGGAGACTGGCTAGGCCACACTAGAACCTTGATATGATTCTTCCAGAGCCGCTCCTTGGTTATCCTGGCTGTGTGCTTCAGGTCATTGTCATGCTGGAAGACCCAGCCTCCACCATTCTTTAATGCTCAGAGGGAAGGAGGTCATTCCCTAAACTCTTGCCATACATGGCCCCGGTCATCCTCCTCTTAATACAGTGCAGTCGCCCTGTCCCATATGCAGAAAATCATCCCAAAGCATGATACTATTGTTGGAGCCATTTCATTTTATCTTATACTGTATTAACTCTGGTGAAAGAATTACTTTGCAGGTACCATGAACTGAATGTTCTTCATGTGTATAACTCAAGGTCACTGCCTGCATGACAAAATGTGTGTTTCCCTGTATCATGCTGCAATTTACTCCCCACACATCCTTTAGAGTTACAGTGTTATCTATTGGAACTAGGGACTCCCCTTTTTTCCTAATGAAGAGCGAGTAAGACAGCAGAGGGACTTCAGAGTGGTGGGAGGTTGTAACTGAGGACATTTCTACCTGCTCTCCTAGCAAGTAAAAATAATCTAACATCTCTTGTCCTTCTTCCCCAGGTGTTTTGATAAGTGTTTGGGTTAAATCCAACACCTACCACCACAAAGCTTCACAGTAGGGAAGGTGTTCTTGGGATGGTACTCAAAGTTCTATTTTGGTCTCATCTGACCACATGACTTTCTCCCATGACTTCTCTGGATCATCCAAATGGTCCTTGACAAACTGAAGACGGGCCTCGACATGTGCTGGTTTAAAGTCGTAGGGAAGTCATATTTAAATGTCAAATCATTCTGGCTTAAACATGTATATAAATGTACTCTTTATCAGACTATATATTCCCAAAATTGAAAACATTTCTTTTAAAAGAAAAAAAAAATGATATCTTCAAATCTGTGGTTTTTTTTATATTACCTTAAGCAGGTCAGTTAGTTCTACGTCAGCCTGAACACCTAAATTCAGCCAATAATATATAAACGTCATCTGTCAATCAAAATTTTTTGGTCATAGCATCTTGATTCATGTGTCGCTGCTAATATACGCAACGGTTGAAACAAAAAAAAAAATTATTTCCTTTCCCATTGAGTTGCGTCCCAGTGTTCACGGGGATGGACGTCTGTGTCTTCGGCAGGCGTAGAGCTAACAGAACTGGCAGCGTTGCGAGGCAAGGGCTCAAACATGTACGGCTGGAAGCCTTCTACACCAAACCAAGCTTCTGCCGCCCTGGCGTCCTCTTCCAAAACATCTTCGTCCCCGCTTTCCTCCTCTAAATAAAAAATTGATGACGGAGGAGACTCATCCACGACCTCCGACACTAAACTCTCCTCTTCTTGCATGTTTCCACTGTCCATAGCGTTCCTTGACAGTGTCGTTTCTAAATCACCAATTTAGTGCTACTTGGTAACGATGGAATTTCCCATTGGGAACCTGCTAGCACTAAGTGCTAGTGGTGAAAAGTGGAGGCGTTGCAGAGACAAGGGTGGAACAAAAGCGAGAAATACCGGCTGTTTCTCTGTAACTCCATTTTGCATTTCGTGCTTCGCATGTGCGACTCCACTGCCTTAATTCCCATCGTTCTGAGCATTAATGACTTCTTGCACAAAATCCACTGAGCCTCATGTATGTTCCCTGGTTTTAGCCATGGAGAAAACTCTTGGCTGGAGACAATTTTGGTTACATTTACACTTGCTTATATTTTCCAGACATTAACTTAATGGTGCATCTCCCAAATGTCCTGGCCGCAACAATGCTTTTATTGGTTCCGCTGTCGGGACGGAACCAATAATGGCAAGCTGTTATTTTAAATAAAAAAAAAAATTGTCAATATTTTATGTTTTATTTAGATTACAAAAATAAATTGTAATAAAAATAATCCTATTTATGACGTTTTAAAAATTAAGACCTACGAAAGACTGATTTAAGACACTTTAATACCAATTAAGGCCTTAGTTTTATTTTGAAGAATTCAATGCCTTTTAAGACTTTTTAAGGACCCGCGGGAACCCTGTTTCATGTCATTGACCATCTCCTCCCGTGTAGTTTAGGGCTGAACTACACAGGAGGAGCTGATTTCTCACCTTTTTAGGATCTTTGAGACCCCATGAGGTGAGATCTTGCATGCAGCCAAGGGAGATTGACAGTTACGTTTAGTTTTTTCCATTATCTAATGATTGGTCCAACAGTGGACCATTTTCACCAAGCTGCTTGGCAATTTCCCTGTAGCCCTTTCCAGACTTGTGGAGATGTATAATTTTGTCTCTAGTGATTTTGGCAAAGGTGGCTGGTAGAGTTTTCACCAGGAGCTACAAATTCGAAATAGCCGTATAGCAAAAACCAATCAAATGGATACTAAGTTATCACATATATTTATATGAAAACAACAACAAAAAACAACATTATGAAAAACACTACATAAAAAACAATTGTTCATGTAATCATGTACAGGTTCATTTTTTGTACATGAATGTTGCCAATCTGTCATTGAGAGAAGCAAATTTCTCAATGACTCTGTGGTTGAAGTCAGGGATGGTTTTAATAAGGTTCTTCTCCATAGAGACCATGGCCAGGGCATTGAGATGGTCCTGTGACATTGTGTTCCTGAGGAAGGTCTTGATCCTCTTCAGTGTTGAGAAGCACCTCTCAGATTCAGCTGTGGTCATGGGAGTTGTGATGAGGATCTTCAGCAGAGCCACAGTCTCTGAGAAGATGTCCTGTAGATCGTTCCTCATGAAGAACTGGTACAGAGCCACAGCACCACTGCACCTCCTGAACCCAGCATTGCTGTAGATCAGAGCCAGCTCAGTTTTCAGTTTGTTCTTGTTGAGCAGTGGGTAAGCCTCAATGATGGTGTTTAGTGCAGCATCAGGGAACTGCCTGTGGTACTCCAGGAATCTGTCTGCATGCAGCAGTGTAGCACTGACCAGATGATTTGTGAATGCAAACCTCTGATTTGAATGCTCCAATATGGTGTCACAAATCTAAAAAAAAAATACATATAGCAGTTTAATAATGGAGAAGATATTAGTTAGCTTAATATTTTTAATACATAAAAACTATTTTTCTGAAAATGTGGTTATTTAAGAGCAACTATGCAAATTAACAAAGTACCTAAAAAGTACACTATATAATATTATACAAGACGTATTCTAAGGTGTGTGTCCCCTTTTTGAGAATATAGCACTATGATTAAACACATTAAGATGCAGGGGGCTGCCCAGTGGAGCAGTGGGTAGCCCTGCTTGCAGTTGCTGCAAGAAGGTTCTGGGTTTGATTCCCGGCCCTGGGTCTTTCTGCATGGAGTTTCCATGTTCTCCCTGAGCATGCGTGGATTCTTGCCGTGTACTCCGGCTTCCTCCCACAGTCCAAAAACATGACTGTTAGGTTAGCTGGCTTCTCTAAATTCTCCTAAGGTGTGATGGGTTTGTTATACTCCTGCATCAGTTTGTCACAGTTAACTTGTCGCATGTATGTTGCATGTATCATGAACTAGCTGTGGGTCTAGATATGACCGAGGCGGTGAGAAAGTGAAAAAACACAAGGGGCAAATTGTGCGACAACTGAGGGACATGAGGGTAGATCCAGGTGGATAAAGGGTCCCAGCGTTCACACGCACCTCGCTCTTCTAGCTGGTCCAACTTCAGGAGTTGTTTTCTACAAACAAAACAAGCCAATAAGGTACCAAACAGGAAATGGGCATAGTCTAGAGCAGGGGTGGGCAATTCCAGTTCCTGGGGGCCGGTATCCTGCAACTTTTAGATCCATCCTTGCGCCACACACCTGAATTAAATGGCTCGGTTACCTCCTTAGTATGCAGTCACTTCCTCCAGAGTTCTCTCAATCATCTAATTATTTGATTCAGGTGTGCTGAACCAAAGACACATCTAAAAGTTGCAGGGTAGCGGCCCTCAGGAACTGGAATTGCCCACCCCTGGTCTAGAGCAAATGTAGATGTGACCAATCAGAGGCCCCCTGTCTGCAGTACTGTCTGTGGTCACAGAGTGCCGGGGCTGCGTTAACTGCGAAACATACCAGCACCCCTCACGACCCCGCTTGGGATAAGTGTGACGAAAAATGGATGGACACTAGTGTTGCACCGATACTGATACCAGTATCGGACGGGGCCCCGATACTGCCCTAAAATGGTGGTATCGTATCGGCAAGTACCAACAAATAGGGCACCGATACCATTTTGAGAGCCATAAGTTTATTCAACTATTGTCACCCACTCCTGGTAGGCAATAAAAAGTTCTACTGGATTCACTTTGTATTAGATTTTTTCCTGCTTCACAAAGGTAGGCAGCAGCTTGACAAAGCCATGATGGCAATTATTTTACATTATGGTATCGGTATCGGCCGATACTGCACAGCCAGGTATCGGGTATCGGTATCGGGGCCAAAAAATGGCATCGGCGCAACACTAATGGACACCCCATGTTCAGTTTCTCACCTCTGTGGCTATCCTCTCAAGATCACCTGGGCCCAGTGTGCGGCATCTCTTGGCCAGTTGAGACACACTGCCACAGTGTTCTTCACAGAACACTGGAAGGGAATCTCTGAACAGAACCCGTAGAGACGTGTTCATTAGTAATCAGGTATGAGAATTAGTTAAAGCACAATAGAGATGAACTTACCTGATCTTTTGTATACCATCTGTGAACTGCTGCATGACCTTCTGAACAAAGACTGAGTTGATGGTCCTCTTCTGAAGCTGACTGTAGAGAATGTCCACTTGACTCATGATATGATGGAACAGCTTCAGGAAGAAGCTGAAACAATCATCCTCCAGTAGCCTCACAAATCCTCCAGCTTCTCTCACAGTGGTTGGATCAAACTCTCCTGAGTCCCTGATGGTTTCAAAACACTGGAGCAGGTCTTCTTTATGTTCAAAAACAGTGCTCACATTTTGGCTGTTGAAGTTCCACTTCACTGTGCTTGCTCCGGGGAGTCTGTGAGCCACCACTCTATCAAGCACACAGGTTCTCTTTGGAGATCTTAAAAAAAAGCCAGATAATCCAGCCAGGTCTGAGAAGAAATGACTCACTCTTGGGATGTGGGATGTCACCTGCTGCATGATGAGGTTAAGTTGGTGAGCATAGCAGTGGACATAGTGTGCATTCACATAGACTTCCTTGATCTTCTTCGGTACACCACCTGTAGCACCTCTCATGACACTTGCACCATCGTAAGCTTGGGAAATGAGCTTGCTTCTCTGGTCATCAGGGAAAATGGAACTCAAGCTATCCAGAAGTGCTGTGGTGATTGAATCAGCTGTGGCACTTTGGAGAGGTATGAACTCAAAAAAACGTTCTTGGACATGATGGGCTTTGTCAATGTAGCGGATCACAAGCACCAGCTGACACTGAGTGGAAATGTCCATTCTTTCATCAACCTGGATGGAGACAAAGTCTGCACTCCTGATTTCTTCAAGGATGCACTCTCTTAAAATTGACAGCATGCAGTCAAGGAGTTCATTCTGTACTGTCTTAGACATTCCCTTGAACACAGTGGCATTCTGCAGGTGCTGGTGAAGAACTGCATCCAGTGATGCTACAAAATCCACCAATCCTCTAAAAACACCTGGGTTTTCTGAGCTCTCACTTTCATCATGGCCATGCAAGGCAAGCTCAAATGCACTATAGAATTTGACACAGTCAATTATTTTTGATAAGATGTGGCGGTTTTTGTCAACCTCCTCATTGTGTTTGCGAATCCCTACCATGTATCCTTCATCAAGCTGGGATGAAATTTTTATTTTCCCAAACATGGCTAGTTGCAGTGCATTTTCCATGTGGATACCAGATTGTTCATGCTTCTTTGCCCTTTCTGAAAAGTGTTGTAAATCAGTAATACCAGTTTTTATCCATGCCTGGTCAGATCCTGATGTTTGAAAAACGAGGCAGGGAAAGCAGAATAAAGCATTAGCCTCGGTGCATGCTGTTAGCCAAGACTTCTTGCTAAACCAGGTCCTGGAAAAAGAACGAGTGTACCGTCTCCCTTTGTCGTTGGACAGCTGGTTAATATTGATGTTCGGCTTATCAGGACCAAGAGCCTTCACCTCCAGCTTCTCTTGATAAGTTCTCCGCTCAAAAGGTGTCGCTTTAAGGGACTTGACTGAATTTATTTTTTCTTGTGCCATTTCTCTCTCTCGCTCTGTCCGATGCGTCTCCAACTCCTGTGACTCGACCTGTAAATTCAATTCAGTTTATTTACAACACATCATCTCAAGGCACTTTACAATTCAACCAGATCATAGAGTCAAATTGATTCAGTTTTACATCTAAGGAAAACCAGTTGATTGCATTGAATCAATGACTCAAATATAATCCCTCACACCAAGCACGCTTGCAGCAACAGTGGAGAGGAAAAACTCAATTTTAACAGGAAGAAACATCCAGCAGAGCCAGACTCAGTGTGAACGGCCATCTGCCGAGGACGACTGGGGTTCAGGGCAGATGGCCTCAATCAGCCAATCTGCAGCAATTTATAAGTATGACTGTGACGTCAGTGCTGTGGTGGGAGGTGGAGAGTAAAACACTTCCAGTCACCTCAGGGCGCACCAGAGCTGAGCACCAGACCACCATAGACATTGTATTGCAGAGAAGCTACTGCTCATGTACAACTTATAACAAGCAAACATTTTTGTGCCCTAAAGTGGAAATACGTCACCAATAAGACGAAAAATGATATTACGCTTTACTTGTCATTAGAAGAGAGTAGAAGAATAAATATCAATCTTGCACATCTAAAAAAAACATATCACTAGATTTCAAAATATTTACTTTTTTTAATGTTCATTGGTTGGGTGGGGCGGCGCCCTCTATTGTCCAGCCACCACTGGTTTTTGGACATCTCTTCGGTTTTGGCAATGTTAGTAGCTGGATTCTTACTAATTGTTTGGGGTGAACAGGTGTCTTTATGCAACTAACGACCTCCAACAGATGCATCTAATTTATGACAATAAATGCAGTCGTGGTGGACATTCTGAAGGCAGACTAAGAGGTCTTTCAGTGTAAGAATTTTTGCTTATAGACAGGTGTTCAAATATTTTATTGCAGATTTGTCATACAATTGTTAAAAATCATATCTTGTGCTTTCTGGATTTTTCTTTTTAGATTATGTCTCTCACAGAGGACATGCAGCTACGATGACAATTTCAGACCCCTCCATGATTTCTAAGTGGGAGAAATTACAAAATAGCAGGGTTTTCAAATACTTATTTCCTCACCATAGTTACTTGATTTTGGTACAGAGCAGGCATCTCAAACTGGTTCCAGAAAGGGCCGTGTGGCTGCAGGTTTTCTTTCAAACCAAGCAATAGCACACCAGACTTAATTCATCTTGATGAAATGAATGGAGTCTGGTGTGCTATTGCTTGGTTGAAAAGAAATCCTGCAGCCACACGGCCCTTTCTGGAACCAGTTTGACACCCCTAGTATAGAGTTTAATCTTGAGACCCTGCGTCTTCATATGCAGACATTGCATTTTGCCTCCTTGGCTCTGATACCTAATTCTTTTTAACTTTGACCCACTGGCCTCATTAATAGAAACTATACACCATCTAATGTCAGATGACAATATTACACTCATTTAAGTGAAAACAAGATGCTACGGATCACAGTACAAAACTCGTTAGAAAAATCGAAAGGCAATGCAAATTTTAAATGTTGAAATAAATTAAAATATCTTTAAAGTTGAAAAAGCTATGTAGTGAACCAACTCTGACATGGTTAGCTCTATGCTGTCAAGTGGTAGGACAATATGCCAGTCGTCATGCTTTCTGTTGCTCAAGCAGAAGAGCCTAAGGTACCTGCCAACGATGGTCAAAGGAGGACAAAAAATATGACACGGCCAAGCATTGTAAGAGAATCTGAAACAAAGATGGTTGGGTTTGACTTGTCAGACAGGATAAGTTACTACAGAATGAGTGACCACATCAAGAAGTTGACAAATTCATAATATGATGCTATATCGCCAAGATAACTGGGAAAACAGCACACCAAGACAGACTATCATGAAGTTTCTCGATTTTTGTATGGCAAGAGCTCAGGTATTCATCAAAATAGTATGATGTCGTTATAGGTGCCCATGTTGGTGGTGAAGAGGGATAGAATCCACATTCTGCACAATCAAGGAAAGGATCTCGGGTCACCTCTTATACAACATTTCTGTTTTAGCATATGTTCTGCTGCACATCTTCCAGAGATGGCTGACCTGGGAGAGCCAACGTGTTGCAGTGGGCAAGGCTGCCCCGAGAAGAACTGTATTCGATGCACTCAATGCAATGTTTTCCTTGGCTGGCAGAGTGAAAGGAACTCCTTTATACAAAGGTCAGCAGGCCTCTTCAGGAAGGACAGATTGCCTTTTTAAAACGACATTCAGGGCCTGAGATAAATTTCCTAAAGACCATTATGGCATTTTCATATGGCCATTTTCAGGGCCAGAGGTGCACATCAATAGTGTTTTGGAACCAGTGGCTCCATCCTTCGAAGGGGAGATTTGTCAGTCGATTAGGTCATAGAGCGGCGCTTTGTCCGGTTCAGATTGGAAGTCTCCTCGTTATGCGGCCGACAAAAGGAGACTTCTTTTTGCCCGTTTTGAAGGATGGGTCTGGTGTATCCTACATAGCCTTTGGTATGCTGTGACACATTGCGAGTCCAAGCAAGTTGTCTTCTCCGTGCTCAGAGAAAAAAGGGAAATGTTGTAAGTGCAGTTTGTTATAATACAAGTATGTAAATAGTTCCGTCTGAAATCAAGTAAAATAGTTGTTTAAATGTCAATTGATAGAGATATGTGGTGATTAATATTTGATTTATTGAAAGGTTTTATCTGTCCCTGGGTAAATGGGTTTGGCTGACATTTAAGCTCAGATTCCAACATCTCTGCAGTATGGGGACTATAAATATGATATATTTGACAACAGTAGTGCTGCTGATGCTCCTCAAAAATATAACACACAGAACAGTGGGAAATTCAGCATCCATTCCGTGAAAATTCAAAAAATATCCACTGGACTTGGTTTTCAAGATTTTAAGACGTTTCGCCACCTCTCCAGGAAGCTTTCTCAATTCAAATGTCTGTATCCGCAGTGAGTTTAAGTCTTATATGGACAAGGCCTTGTATTGCTTGGAGACCTGCCAATGGTAATCGATGAATGGGTCGTTTAGTTCCATCGTTACGAAAACCAAGTCCAGTGGATATTTTTTGAATTTTCACGGAATGACTATGACCTGGATGACTGAGAACCTTCATCAGCATTCAGCATCCATTCTTTCCCTTCTTTGTGCATCAACTGTGGGGAGGTCGCTATGCGACAGAGCGTATGCCAAGTGGGGGGCGGTGGAAGCCGTACAGTAAACAGTACCTGCAGCTCTGGTCTTTGAGGTACCTCAAAAGCTCCAGACTGGTGAAGAACTTGTCTGCAAAGATGGCAGAAGTCATGGGAGAAGAGATTGTAGTGGCCAGAACAGCGACAATATAGCTGATGTCATTTTCTCCAGCTGACAAGGGGACATCATGAGCCTCAATGGTAACTTGCCTTGGTACAGCACAATGTCATGAATGAAGCCATCCTCAGGGGGCATGCAAAGAACTTAAAACCCCACTTGACTGGCTTCCTTTTAATATACAGCCTCAGGTTGCCTGCTGTCCTCCCTTTATAGGCAACATTCACTTCGTCCACAGACTGTTTTGGTGTCTGTGTTTCATGCCTGAAGGCAGTATTGAGGAAGGTGAACAATGGCCAGACTTTGAAGAAGCGGTCACTACTGCTAGGGAACTGGTCATTGTCACTGAAGTGGATCAACCTTTTCAGGAGTCTGAACCTCTTTCAAGACACCAGGGTGGCAACTTGGTCTCCATAGCCCAGCAATCATCAACAGCTGGGAGCTGAACAATCCCCATATAGATGAGGGTGGCCACCAAGATTATTTCATTGTCATCACTGCTGAAGGTGGTGTTTATATCTTTTTGAGGGGCGTACAAGTTGGTTTGGTACGCAATGTGATAATGTGGGGGCCAAAGTACCTTTCAAGGTAGTGGAAAGGATTTTCAATATAGTGAATTGTAGCGACTCCTTAACAATCCTTGTCGCTTGAGAGGTGGAGATAGAGTCCTGTATGTGTATGACGCGCTGCCGTCATTGATCAAAAATGCACATGGAATCCAGGAATAAGTTTTGGTGTTTTAATCCTGTCCAGAGGCTCATGTAGTCACTCACAACAGATTGGAACGTACATGATGTGACATACTGATTTAGATCATAAAGCAAACGGTCAACAAGAAATACGGCTACCCGACTCCCCTCTCTCCTCCAGAGTGCAGGTAAACACACCCATTTAAGCAATCAGCTGTCACCGCATGTGTCACCACAGCAACTATGCCCATGTGATACCTACACATGCACAGCCATCATTATGGCTCCTACATGAATCTTAAAGTTCTGGTATTCAGGTAGAGCTGCATTTTCCATTTATTTCTAATGATGAAATAATTAGCTGTAAAACTGGACTTTTTTCAACTTTTCCAGAATGAGAAAGTTAGCTGCATCCAAGGTCACCTCTGATTGGAGAAATGACGAAATTATGAGTATAACCACATAGTAAGATCTTTGCTGATTGTCTGGATATAAATCCTGAGTTGCTGGAACATATAGAGGAGCAGGAATGATTCCATCCGTTAAACGGCAACTTGCCCAATAAACAGGTAAAACATAATCTAAGGGTCCTCAAATGAGGACATTATTTTATTTTTTAAAGAAAAAGTTCGGTCATATTCAGAATAGATTTCTGAAAGTACTTTAAGTATAAAATTATTTCATACTTTTCAATAAATAAGTGTTTTTAATTCTGAGTAATTTTCATGTGAATGTGCTTTACTGGAGGCATCCATGTTTGTCAAAGAACACTACTGCCACCTACTGGTTTGTGACGTCAAGGTGGGGTATCGGCTGTTGAGTCCCAGTGCTGTATCTGGTGTTTGTCACAACCATTGATGGGAGTAACGTCGTTCAAAGTAACGGCGTTACTAACGCCGCTACCTTTTTTTAGTAACGAGTAATCAAAATGATTACTCTAACTGTAACTATAACACAGTTACAATTGCCAACACCCCGTTACTGCACGTTACTCAGGTCACACAATTAACCTTTTTTCATGATAGGACTCGTGCGCGCGTCATGAGAGAGGGGAGGATGGAGAGTGAGGAGGACTCCAGCGGCAAAATAACGCTTTCCAGATGGAAATACTGGTGTTACATCGAGCTGCGTTTCCCCATCAGATACGGTTTCCCCTGCATCTCCGCACAGCATCTCCGCACAGCGGCACGATTTACCGCGCAAGCGACAGGAAACGCGCATGCTCGCTAAAGGTGCGTAACAGGCGCCCGGTGCTCACGCCACAGGCAAACTACGGAGAGCGTGAACGATCAAATGATAGCCTATATGGAGAAAGGGGGGGGGGGTGGATGGATGGATGGATGGATGGATGGATCTACATGTTGCAGTATCTATAACAACCCAAACATAGGATTTCAGAATTAGACATCCCCAGTTATTAATGTCATACACTCGCAAAAGTAACGCAATAATTACTTTTACTACTAACTAGTTACTTTTATTGTGGAGTAACTGAGTTACTAACTCAAGTTACTTTTTGGGAGAAGTAACTAGTAACTATAACTAATTACTGTTTCAAAGTAACGTGCCCAACACTGGTCACAACGCGCTATTATCTTGAAAACATTCTTCTTCCAAATGTTGGCTACATATTACGGGTTTTTTCTCTGGCCAGAAGTTCGATGGCAAATCCTCCCTCTTCAAGTTGGCGATCCAACGACCAACCCGTTCGTGGAGGATCAGGAATCAGAAAGGTGGAATAACTCTTTTTTTCACTTTTACCCGATGTATTCCAGCATCCAGCTGCCATGCACGTGGGCATTGTCAGTTTCACTATAGCTCTGGTGAATTTCAATGGTGAAGTCCTCTGGAAATCTTCAATAATTGTTGTTGATTGCAGATGTGTCTAGTAGTTCCCATTGATTTAGCTTGTAAAGCGGGGAGAATGGCGCTAGGCTTACCGCACCGTGACGTCACTGCTGGAAGATGGCAGGAGGGAGGTGTCACTGTATTTGGGCAAAAATGGCCGCTCCCAGACTCAGTGATCGCAATGAAAATGAGTGTTTAGATTTTTCTGATTAACACTAAATTAATTAAATCACCGCAAACGTATTAGTTTCAGGTAATAATAATAATCCATTGGTTATTCCTTGCTGACCAGATTTCCTTTAAAACTACTTTTATCATGACAAGGTCTAGTAATTAAAATCATTAGGTCCTTCAAATCGCATGTAACATGGAGAATAAAAAAACAAAAGCTTGGGTCTCAGGAGGCTGCATAATACCGCTCATTTAACAATCCGTTGCTCCATTATTTTGCGAGCAGAGTTGCATCTAACTAAAGCTCAAGGTGGTGAAATAAAGACATAAAGAAGAATCAAAAAGAAACTTTGAAAAACGTCCAGAAACTGATGATAATTACTATTTCAAAAGGTCCAGCCTCCAGGGCTGGATTAAGTCCTTAGGATGCTTAGTCTGAATGATAATTAAATGTTTCCTTCATTGGTTTGTCTCCCTCCCCTCTATCTTCATCTCTCGGTTCTCCACCTTAATCTCTGTCTCTTGGTTCTCCTCCTTTACCTCAATCATTATCTCTACGTTCTCCTCCTTTAACACAGTCGCCATCTCTTGGTTCTCCTCCATTCTTCTTAGTTCCTATTAATCTCCAGTACCTATTTGGTCTCCAGATCCACACCCTGTTAGAACCAACAGCCAATCAGGTTTAGGGTTTCTAAAGACATTTAATTGTAATGATAATGATGTTAATGAGGCATCTTAAAGCAAAACTGTATGTTTATCCTGTTTCACAGAAAACTGACACCTGCTGGACATTTAAAGACACTACACGCAGCTGATTGGACAGAATAAACTCAAATGATTTATCAGAACTAGGGCTGCAACGATTATTTTAAAAATCGATGAATCGGCCGATTATTATTTTTTCGATTAATCGATGAATCGGACAAAAAATATTTTTTATATTAACCTCTTTATTCCAAAATAAACATTTTAGACAGAACAAACAAGCACACAAGTACAGGTTGCTCATTAACTGTACTGGTGCAATATGAAAAATAAATGTTTGTTAAAACTACGCAAACTTACATGAGAAATGTAGCTGTACATCCACAAAATATAGGCTACTTTGTTTCATAAAAGGCAAAAAAAAAGACATTTTTGTTTTTTAAAGCCCCTAAGGGGTTCAAACAACAGGCCCCCCCATTTCAACAAATTGTTTTTTTTTAGACTAGAAGAGTTCTGCCTTTTAAGACAGGAAAGTATAGCAGTTAAAGTTGCTACTTGAGAAAATACTGAACCATAGAAATAAGAATAGCCCTGTGATTCAAATTATAAATTGTATTTGGAATAAAAATGAGAGAACTAGGGGTGGTAAAAAAACACATCCTCCAAAGACAGATATTTACATGGGAATTTGGCAGATAATTAATTGACATATTACTGATCTTGCTGGATTTTCCATAAATTACAGGATCTTCTTTACTTTATCTTTGCCAAAAGATTTAAACTTTAAAAGCCTTGCCCTCATAATTTGCAAGTTAATTTATTTATAAAGAAAATATAAACGCTGCTTAAGCTAATTCAAATGAAATTAAAAGTAAAATAAGTAGCCAACCTTATCACTAGGGATGGGGATCGAAACCCGGTTCCATCAAGGACAATCAGGAAATTGACTATATACCAAACTGAATGATTGTTGTTCTCTACTTCAAAAACATTTTAGATGTTTTTTAAAAATCTAGTTTTTTTTTTTTTATATTTATAACATGGATGCATAAAAATCTCATTTTATTTCAGTGCTAAATTCTGTTTTAAGTAACAGATTATAATTATAAATGTCTCCAGTCCTTTACTGGTTGATGATTTTCTTTATTCTGACCCCAGATGTAGGTCATCAAATCGATTCAGTTTAGTCTGTCCAATCAGCTGCCTGTAGTATCTTTAAATGTCCAGCAGGTGTCAGTCTTCTGTGAGATTGAATGAGCGCAGCATCAATCCAGTTTGATGCCTCATTAACCATCATTCACATCTTTATTTTTAAAAGATGGACATAAGTTATTCTTTGGGAGGTAAAAGACAGCTGGTTGATGTGGAGAGAAGGACATGGACTGACTGACATAATAGACCAAAAATAATAAATCACAAGTCTGTTTCTTTCTGCTCTATTATTTAAACCACATTTATCTGGATCAACGTTGGATCTATATCTGATAAACTTATACTAAATATTATTTAAGGTGTTAAATGCAAAGACATTATACACGTAGATGCCTCATTGGACGCCTCGCTGTTCAACATGCCTAACGGGCGGCCATCTTGGGTCAGACCACAGCTGCTGTTAGAATAAATAGGAGGCGCTCTCATCTCATTTTATTCACGAGAGATGAGTCAGAGATAATAAAATTATCTGTGACATGTTACAACCACTTAAAAGACCAAAATCAATTCTAAAATTCTCTTCATCTTAGATTAGACAGATTTATTCAGATTAAATATTATTTAAACCCAACTCAAACTGGCAGATATATGCAAAGCTATATATTTTTAAATAGATAGATAGATAGATAGATAGATAGATAGATAGATAGATAGATAGATAGATAGATAGATAGATAGATAGATAGATAGATAGATAGATAGATAGATAGATAGATAGATAGATAGATAGATAGATAGATAGATAGATACTGGTGACTTTAACCATAACATATAATGTCTATGGTTAAATGTACTACTCTTTAGTTCTTTTTTCCATGCGTGTGAAAGGTTTTATTATTTTAAATAGGTATTGTAATAACAAACTATTTTCTATATTAAGGTAAATTTAACCCATCGATATATTTACATTAATTGTTGGAAAGGTCTCCTGTTGGGGGAGCAGAGGGAGGCAATACAGGCATCGACGAGGGCAGCTAAGGGGGTCCTTAGCCTACCAGCTAACTAAGAGGCTAACAGATATACGCACAAAACCGAACACGCCCCCTTTAACCGAACCCGCCACCTTTAACCGAACCTGCTCCCTTTAACCGAACCTGCTCCCTTTAACCGAACCCGCTCCCTTTAACCGAACCCGCCACCTTTAACCGAACCCGCTCCCTTTAACCGAACCCGCTCCCTTTAACCGAACCCGCTCCCTTTAACCGAACCCGCCACCTTTAACCGAACCCGCTCCCTTTAACCGAACCCGCCACCTTTAACCGAACCCGCTCCCTTTAACCGAACCTGCTCCCTTTAACCGAACCCGCTCCCTTTAACCGAACCCGCTCCCTTTAACCGAACCCGCTCCCTTTAACCGAACCTGCTCCCTTTAACCGAACCCGCGCAGGTCCAGCTATGATCTCAGATCAGCAGCCTGTTGGAACCGGTCGAAAACAGAAACATTATTAAACTTACCGGATGCAGCTTCAGCCCTAAACCGTGTGGGATTCCGATGGTTCTCTGAGATATGGAGCAGGTCCACAGCTCAGTCTGAGCCGGGACACCTGCTGTACTGGGTCTGTGTTCGGTTAGATCGGAGCTGGTGTAGCTATCAGATCTGCTGGAGGTCCTGTTCCTTCTAATGACGTCATTATATGGCACCTGCACTTGGACAAAATGCATTGCACCCGTTTCTTCCCCCCTGTATGAAAACATTAACTGGAATAGAGCCTGGAGTACATTTTTAATTATAAACAAAGTAAAAGAAATAACATTTAAAATCCTTCACCATTATTTCCCCTGTAATAAGCTTATTTCCCAATTCATCCCCACTGTAGATGAAAAATGCTCCTTTTGCTCTTTGGAAATAGAAACAGACCATTCATTTTATAGCTGTTCACATAGCTCTTCTCTGTGGAATGATATGCAAAGCTTTATTTATGGTCACTTTGGCTCAAACATACTTTTATCCAATTTTCACATTTTCTTTTATTTTTCTGACTCAAACCCCTCTATACAATATATAGTCAATCTATTTATTTTACTTGGTAAATTCTTCATCCATAAGTCAAAATTTATGAAGAACAAACCTCTTTTCAGTGTTTTTAAAGTTGAGTTAAAAAATTATATAATATGTATTTCTGGATTAAAGGGTATTTATCTACTCTAACTTTATAATTAATGTTACTGATACTTATTTTTTGTTACTCTGGCTATGTTCTCTAATTGTTGATGTTGAAAAATGTCTTTTATGTGTTTTACTTTATTTTCGTTGTCGTTGTTTTCCCTTCAAGCAAACGTGAACTGTAACTTTCTAAGGTTTGGAATTAAAAAAAACAACATTTCTTAAAGGGGAACTTCGTTTTTTTACGCTATTCCATCATGTTCTACTCACCCATATGAGTTTTGTGTCATTTGGAGCCGTTCTGAAGATATTCCGTTAGGTTATATCCAGTAACATCTTCCTATGGGCAACCATTTGAAGGCACAAACTAAACTGTTCATCATTTATTCTATATGGTAGGCCAGCATTCAGAACATGTAGGCCAATCACTGTCCCCCAGACATCCGCGGTTAGATTTGTTCATATTTAGATGTTTTAAAAACAAAGTGGAGTATGTATGACGTCATCCACGCATTGGGATGTGCCATAACTAATGTCCAAGAATGAAAAGACAAGTTCTGTTAAAATACGAAAATCAGAATCAAGTCAAACCTATTCTTAACAGAGAACCAATAAGAACAAAGAAACAGTAAACCTTTACTGAAAACATGCCCACTGAACTTATGAAGAAACTGTTCAGTGCTTTACATTTTTGTTTTAAATGTTTAACATGTCTCAAGTTTGTTTTAAACTTGTCCTGTGTTCCATGTAAATCCCAGCTGGTCGGTGTTAGAACACCTTCTGTGACCCGAGGGAGAAGAGCAGTGGTAGCGGATGGAGTTTTCTCCAGGAGGGCTATAAATTCAAAATAGACTTTACCAAAAACCAATCAAACATATAAGTTATCACACAAGTATATTTATATGAATGCCAACAACAAAAAAACATTATAAAACTGTGTTTCGCATGGTCCAATATTGTGTCACAAACCTAAAATTATAATGTACCAGTTTAATAATGGAGAAGCTATTAGCCAGCTTTATATTTTTTGATATATAGAAACTATTTATTTTCTGAGAATGTGTTTATTGAAGAGCAACTATGCAAATTAACAAACACCTGTAAAAAGTAGACTATATTCTATTATAATTGAATCCCAGATTGTTCATTCTTCTTAGCCTTTTCTAAAAAGTGCTTTAAATCAGCCTTAGCTGTCTTTATCCATGCTGGGTCAGATCCTGACATTTGAAAAATGAGGTAGGGAAAGCAGAATAAAGAGTTAGCCTCGCTGCATGCAGTTAGCCAAGCCTTTTAGCTAAACCAGGTCTTGGTAAAAGACGTTTCTTGCACCATTTCTCTCTCTCTCCAATAAGTCTCTGATTCCTGTGAATCAACATGTTTATCACCCGCAAAACATCTGCACTGTGGCGGGAGGTGGTGAGCAAATACACTTTCTGTCAGCTCGGGGCTTTGCTTCTTTCCCTGTACAGGTATCTTAATAAAAGATGTGTACATATGTTGCTCTTTGTAAGTTGAAATATAAAAGTGAACACTGTTTGAAACATGCAATTATAAGACAGCATTTATCTCTCCATATCTGTATTCATAGGAGAAAGACCATCAGCTGATGTATGGGGCCCTCACCACACCATCTAAAGGAACAGTTCCTACGGTTACGAAGGAAAAGCCATACCACCGTGATCAGTGTGGAGCAACTTTTAAAACTAAATCTGATTTATAGAGACATAAACAGAGACACACTGATGTAAGACCATACTGCTGTGAACAATGTGGAGCTACATTTACAAAAAAAAGGTACATTAAGGGTACATCAACAAATCCATAAGGGAGAGAAGCTATATAGCTGTGTCTATTATGGGAAACGTTTTATAGATAAATGTTATTTAAAGACGCATCAACTGATTCTCACCAGAGAGAGACCGTACTGCTGTGACCAGTGTGGTAAATCATTTGCCTTAAAGTCTAGACTGAAAATCCACCAAAGAATTCACTCAGACGAGAGACCACACAAGTGTTCCACTTGTGAAAAAAATTGTCGACAAAATATTGATCTGCGGCGCCATGAAATTACACATTTCTAACCCACACTGGAGAAAGGCCATATAGCTGTGACAAGTGTGGCAAAAATTTTGGTAGAAAATTTACTTTGGATACCTAGCCGATTACACACTGGTGACCAACCTTACTGTTGTGAATTGTGTGGTAAACCTTTTGTTTCTAAGACAGCGTTATCCTGTCCTAACAAATGTCCCTGCAAATGAGAAGATATTGTTCTACTTTCAGTAAATAATCATCTTTATGGAGGTGGCTGCACTGTCAACAAGTATAATTATATATATATATATATATTCAATTCAATTCAATTCAGTTTATTTATATAGCGCCAAATTCACAACACATGTCATCTCAAGGCACTTTACAGTTCAACCAGATCATACAGTCAAATTGATACAAAGTTTTCTATCTAAGGAAAACCAGTTGATTGCATCGACTCATTGACTCAAATACAATCCCCCACACTAAGCATGCTTGTAGCGACAGTGGAGAGGAAAAACTCCCTTTTAACAGGAAGAAACCTCCAGCAGAACCAGGCTCAGTGTGAGCGGCCATCTGCCGAGGCCGACTGGGGTTCAAGGAGACAGAAGCAGAGATACAAAAAGCAGCTGTAAAAGGCGGCCCCGTCCAGGAAACACACAGCCAGGCAGACGAGCTCCAAGGCAGCTCCCATGTCAGAGGACGAAGAGAGCACATCCACTCAGTCACGGTCAGAGAAACAGGACCACACTGGAAAACAGGCCGATCTCCAACATCTATAAACAAGGGTGTTGATAGAAGCAGCACAGCTGATGTTTTTTTCCAGGATGATGTCACAGCCAAACAGGAACAGACGAGGCAAAGCTACTCTGAGGAAAAGCAGAGAGAGCAGAAGGTTAGAGATTGAACTAACAGATTCTGCAGAATAGGAGAACAGAGAGAGAATGAAGCAGAATGATGAAATGGGGGTCCCTATGTCCTCCAAAAGTCTAAGCCTATAGCAGCATAACTATAGAGATAGCTCAGGATAACCTGAGCCACCCTAACTATAAGCTTTATCAAAAAGGAAAGTTTTAAGCCTAGCCTTAAAAGTAGACAGGGTGTCTGCCTCACGGACTAAAACTGGTAGTTGGTTCCACAGGAGAGGAGCCTGATAACTAAAAGATCTGCCTCCCATTCTACTTTTAGAAATTCTAGGAACCACTAGTAAACCTGCAGATTGAGAGCGAAGTGCTCTGTTAGGAACATAAGGAACAATCAGATCTCTGATATAAGATGGAGCTTGGCCATTTAAGGCTCTATATGTGAGAAGGAGGATTTTAAATTCTATTCTTGATTTAACAGGAAGCCAATGAAGAGAAGCCAGGATAGGCGAGATATGATCTCTCTTTTTAATTTTCATTAGAACTCTGGCTGCAGCATTTTGGATCAGCTGAAGGCTTTTAACTACAGTTTGTGGACTTCCTGATAGTAAAGAATTACAATAGTGCAGCCTTGAAGTAACAAATGCATGGACTAGTTTCTCAGCATCACCCCTGGACAGGAGATTTCTAATTTTTGCAATGTTCCTCAGATGAAAGAAGGAAATTCTAGAAACCTCTTTGATATGGGATTTAAATGACAGGTCCTGATCAAAAATAACACCAAGATTTTTTACTTTATTATCTGAAATCAGTTTAATCCCATCCAAATGAAGTGACTGGCTAATCAGCTTCTTTTTCAGAGACTCTGGTCCAAAGACTATAACTTCTGTTTTGTCTGCATTCAGGAGCAGAAAGTTAAGAGTCATCCAGGTTTTTATGTCTTCAGACATGCCTGTAATCTATGTAATGGGTTGGCTTCATCTGGATTTATAGACAGATATAGCTGGGTATCATCAGCATAACAGTGGAAATTAATCCCATGCTGTCTAATCATTCTACCGATTGGGAGCATGTATAAAGTAAAGAGAATTGGTCCTAGCACTGATCCCTGTGGTACTCCACAGGTAACCTTTGAGCGTGTTGAAGATCTATCATTAGCATGAACAAACTGAATTCGATCAGATAGATAAGATTTAAACCAGTCTAGTGCTGTTCCTTTAATTCCAACAAAATATTCAAGTATTTGTAAAAGAATATTATGGTCAACTGTATCAAATGCAGCACTAAGATCTAACAGGACGAGCACAGATACAAGTCCATTATCTGAGGCCATGAGAATATCATTAGTGACTTTCACCAGAGCTGTTTCAGTGCTATGATGAGCTCTAAAGCCAGACTGAAACTCTTCAAAAAGTTCATTATGGTGGAAGTGATCGCAAACTTGTTTGGCAACTACTTTCTCAAGAATTTTGGATAAGAAAGGAAGATTGGATATAGGTCTATAATTGACCAAGTCATCTGGGTCAAGAGACGGTTTCTTAAGCAGAGGTTTAATTACAGCAACCTTAAAAGCTTTAGGTACATATCCCTGTAACAGAGATAGATTAATCACATCTAAAATGGAGGAGGAGATCAAAGGGAATACCTCCTTAAATAACCTGGT